ACAATCTCTCTGCAACTCCCGCGAGCGAGCGTGTATGTGTGTGTGTGTGTGTGTGTGTGTGTGTGTGTGTGTGTCTTAGTTAGGTTTCTATTGCTGTGATAAAATACCATGTCATTTTATCATGCCAAACATAGGGAGGAAAGGATTTATTTTGCTTATGCTTTCATATCACTATTCATCATCAAAGGAAGTCAGGACATGACCTCACATACGGCAGAGAACTGGAGACAGGAGATGATGCAGAGACCACAGAGGGATACTGCATACTGGCTTGTTCCTCACTGCAAGCTCAACCTGCTTTCTTATAGAACTCAGGTCCACGAGCGCAGGGGTGGCCTTACTCAATCACTAATGAAGAAAATGCCCTCCAGTCTTGCCTGCAGCCTGATGCTACGGAAGCAATTTGTCAGTTTAGGTTCTCTCCTCTCCGATGACTCTGGCTTGTGTCAAGTTGACGTACAACCAGCCAGCACAATACGATTTTAGTATCTATGTCACACCATGCAATATCTGTCAGAGTTATTTTCTATTTTCCATAATTTGATGATCTCCAGTATATCCATTTTCCTGCCAATGACATATTTTATTAATGACTGAATAAAACTCTATTATGCATATATACCAAGTATATATACTCATTTGTTGAGGAACATCTAAGGTGCTTCTATAACCTGAGTAAGTGAAAAGCCCCACAATGCACACAAATGTACAAGTGTCTCTGTGGTATGTTGACTTAGCATTCTCCAGCATTATGCCCAGGAGCTGCATAGCTGGGCCATATAATACTACTCATCATAGGTTTTTATTTTTATTAATTAATTAATTAATTTATTTATTTAGCGGAACCTTCACGCAGAGTTCCATAATGTTGCATCTGTTTAGATTTCTATCAGCAGTAAGTAACGGTCCCTACCAGGCCCCAGCCTTGCTAGCTTGTGTTATTGTTTCTTGATGATAGCTAGTCTTACTACCATGACAGAGAATGTTAATGTAGTTTTAATTTTCATTTCTCTGATAGCTGAATACTGATTCTTTTTTCATGCTCACTGGTCATTTGTACTTCACCTCTGGGGAACGGTCTGCTCTCATTAGTCCGTTTGTTGATATGGAGTTTTCTTCGGCAGGTTTTTGAGTTCTTTATGGATGCTAGATAGTAATAATTCTGTGTTAGATGTATAACTAACAGAGATTTTTTCCCCAATTCTATAGGTTGTTTCTTCAATTGCTTATTTCCGTTGCAGTGTGAGCTTTTTAATTTTATTCAGTTAGCAACTAATGAGACATTTGTCTTTAGTTGAGAAGCACATTATTTGTATTTTTTGGCACATTATTCTGTTTCCTAATTCTATTTTGTTTATGCTAATATTAAAATTAGTTTCTTTTCTTTGGAAAGAGGCAACAGTAGCAAGTAGTGAAATATAATAGATAAAAGTTACTTTAGCAAAAAGAACCTGGTGCACCATTATGGAAAGGATTGCAAAGGAAAACTGGCATATTGTGAAATCTGGTGGACACAAATGGAACATGTAAAGAACATACTCCCAAACTAAAGGATTCCCTTGGTTTTTTTTAAATTATCTGCAAGAAATCAAAGAAGTAATAAACTTAACTTGAAAGGAAAAATGAGAAAAAAAAAGCAAACTTAACCTGTGGTAGACAAGTATGAAACTTATTTACTAATAAAAGTCATTGAAAATAAACTTATAATGAGTTTAAACAATGAGACCCTTTATTATGTGTCTCCCAGAATCTCTAAGGTACTCAAATATTAATATATGATAACTAGTAAAACATGCTGACTCTCCAAATATTTAATTTCTTTTTTCTCCCTCAAACATGAAATGAAATAAGAAGGATCTCTAAGTGCCCCAAGTAACGTGTATTGAGTGATAGGTCACTGTGTTGGCCAAATAAAGGCTGTAATTGGATAGGGTCAAGAATCAAGGCAAAGGAGGCTGTGCCCTGAAATTGCAGCAACTCTCAATGACATAGGACCTGAGAAGAAAACTCACTTGCAGCTAGCTTACTGTTTTTCTTTTTTCATTTCTGAGAAATGAGAATCCATTTTTTATTCTTAATGTTTTTAAACCACAGTATAATTTTATTTTTCTTAAGCTAAGTAGATATTGATTCTAATGCTGTTTCTTCCACTTTGCTACATCTGAAAGGCTGAGAGGGGGAAAACAATGCTGTGAAACACTGACCATAGAGACCAGATGACCCAGGGAAGAATTCTGACAAAGCAATCATGTATGGCTTCCATCAGTATGTTTTAACCATAAGAGGGAAAAGGGAGGGGCAGGATCATGTGTGGAAGGAGAAGGAGAGAAGTACAGAGAGTCAGAAATTGAATGGAGGTGTGTAGCAGTGGAGGATGGGGAACTGGGGATGGCCACTAGAAAGTTCCAAATGCCAAGGAAGCAAGAGGTTCCCAGGACCCAAGGGGGATGACATTAGCCGAAATACCCAACAAAGGGAAGAGAGAACCTGTAGAGACCATATCCAGAGGTTAGGCATGGCCTCCTGCTGACCCACCCACCCACCCACCTCAAAAATCTTAATCCAAAATTTCTCCTGTTTAAAGGAAATGCAGGGACAAAGAGTGGAGCAGAGACTGAAGGAAAGGCCATCCAGACACTGTCCCACCTAGGGATCCATCCCACATGCAGTCACCAAACCAAGATATTGCTGATGCCAAGAAGCACTTGCTGACAGGAGCCTGGTGTAGCTGTTCCCTGAGAGGCTCTGCCAGAGCCTGACCAATACAGATGAGGATGCTCATAGGCAACCATTGGACTGAGCACAGGGACCCCAATGGAATAGTTAGGGGAAGGACTGAAGGAGCTGAAAAGTTTTGTAACAATATCAAGAAGAACAATAATATCAACCAACCAGACCCCCTAGAGCTCTCAGGGACTAAACCACCAACAAAAGTATACACATGGAGGGACTCCAACTGCATATGTAGCAGAGGATTGCCTTATCTGGCATCAATGGGAGAGGAGACCCTTGGTCCTGTGGAGGCTTGATGCCCCAGTGTAGAAGAATGCTAGGGGTGGTGAGGAGGGAATGAGTGGGTGGGTGGGGGAGCACCCTCATAGAAGCAGGGGGGATGGCGGAAAGGATGTGGGTTTGTGGAGGAGAAACCAGGAAAAGGGATAAAATTTGAAATGTAAATAAATAAAATAACCAATAAAAAAAGTTGGGGAAATTTATGTAAAAAAAAAAGAATCAAAATTCAAAACAATATCCATGTCCAATGAAGTACTGAGAAATCAAAGCGTCTGCTCTTGGGGACGTTCTGCACATACTGGATGGTATAAATGATTTGGCACAGGGGTTCTCGTGAGACGAAGCTGGCAGTATGTGCTGGGAGTGAGTGTCCAATTTTAAATTAGTTAATCATTTATTTCCCCAGTTACAAGGACAATTCTAATTGTTCTGATTCTTCACAGCCCAGAATTCTGAATTGGTCCACTCTAGAATCTAACTTGCAGTTCATTCAGCAAAGCAGCCTGTGTGAGCACCCATGGTTATACTTTGCTTCTTGGTTAACTCTAGTGTGTGGAAATAGCCAAGATACACACACAAAACCCATTAGGTTCTTAGGGAGATGTCTACTTCTGAGACTTTACTTAGCATGAAAGTAAACAACTTAAATTTGCTTTCTTCTAGGACTAAACCGTTTGCCACTATGCAGTCATTTTAACATGCTATTATGTCTAGAATCACAATAGTGATTTTTATTTTATAAAGATAATTTGTTTTGGCAAAAATCAAAGAACTGGAAGTGGCTTTTTTTGCAAAATAAATGAAGAAGCAAACTACTTCTTTTTGAAAATTTGATTTCTAGCAGGGATCTAATCAGTGAAGAAATTCTTACTAATAGATGACTTAAACATGATAAACAAAGAAGGCATTCACCTCTAACATGGTCTATCATACAGCACTCAGTAGGCAGTGGACCAGCTGCAGGATTCTCCCTCTGACTTTGATAGACTTGTCTCTCCTTTAGCCCCATCCTGTTCTCAGGTGCCACAGTCTAGGCTACTTCTTAAGGGTTGTGGGACATAGCTAAAGGATGAATATTCTTTCAAGAATCTCAGAAAACAGCAATCTTTGAAGAGTTCCTACTTTGAGGATGGACATAAAACCATGGTTTGCAGTAATGATCTTCTGTAGAACTTTGTGCCATATTTCTGAGTTTATGTTTAGTTCCTTGAGGATAAAGTCTTCCTTTAGTACCATTACCTCAATGTTTCTTTAGCCCTTTACGCAGGGATTGTTAGTAATGTCAGTAAAAACTGAATCATCAGTTTCCTATGCTCTTTTGGTTACCCTAAAGTAATTATCTACAACACCATAGGCAAAAAAACAGAAGACGAAACAGCAGTACCTTGATTCAGAAGCAGCTCACTTTCTCAGTCACCCAACCCTTCCTTGTCTTACTCTATATTTCCTTGTTTTCTTCATATTTGTCTGGAGTCCCTGATCCCCTTACCTCAGCCACCTGAGTGCCGGGGATCCAGGGAGAAGCCCTTACCCCTGCCTTTAACTTCTAGTCATGTGTAGCGCAAAACAGCAAGTCCTAAAACATCTTTTAACTCCAATTATCTGGGTATCATCACAGAATTCCAGTTCATCCCAAGAGAGTATGACTTTCAATAAATTACATGAAAGTTATTGAGAAAAATCCCTCAACCCAAGTGAACAGCATATGTATGTTCCAAATCCTTTTGAAGATTTTTTTTCTCTTCAGATTGTATTACAGTATTCATTTAATAATTTGTTAAATTTTGTTAAAATAAAGCAAAGATCAGCCAAGGTGGCTTACACCTATAATTTCAATATTGAAGTTGCTGAGGCAGGAAAACCAAAGGCCAGCTTGCTGGACACCGAACTCTACCATCCATCTCCCATTATTTAAATCTTGGGGATTCTCAACCCTGAAGCACTTTATAAAGCAGTTTCTCTGAGCAAACATGCTCTCTCTGTGGTACCTTATTGTCAGTCCTAATCGTGACTTTCAGCTGCGGTAGTACACGTTCGACTTCTAGACTCCATTCCGCAGCATCTGTCGTAGATTCCAAAATATCTTCTTGCTTGGCAGACTCGTTTGTGTCCTAAGAAAGGAAAGATTTCACAAGATTTGGAGTTTATAAAAAGAACTGGAAAAATCTTGAGGCATTTAAGCAGTACTGCACAATTTAAATTGAGGATAGTAGTGTTAAATTATAGTGCAGTAGAAATTCTTGTCTGTTCTCCTACCTAGGTTGCAGGAGAATTTGGTAGAATAACAAAATAAGTATTAGAAATGAGATAAGTATATGGTCCGACCAGTTTACAAAGGACAGTTCTTTGAAAATATCAGATTGAACTCAATGACTGTATACAATAGACACACCATTTAGTAATTCTAATTATTATCAGTGGAGAAAACAAACACTTACATTTGAATGTATGATACAGGAACATAAACCCAAAATGTGAAAGAAAAAATAGATGCATCTGCAGACATAAAGTGTTTATTGACAAACTATGTATTCATAATTAAAATGATATTTTGGCTAGGCCAAAGTATTGAGCACTTTAAAATTTGATATAATACAGGCATGCTTGATCTCCAAAGGATAAGGACCTTTGAGGAACAAAATTAATTCATGGTTATTACAGAAGGAAAATCTTCCCTATCTCTGCTTTTCTCATATTTTAGCATTAAATATCACAAATCTAAAAATGTAGAAAATATGTAACATAATGATTTAAAAATAAAGCTTAAAGCACTAATTTTAGAAGCAATTTTTCTCTTTAAATTTCCCTGATCAATTATAAGTGATTCTAAAGAAAAATATAAATATTTATATACAATAAAAGAGATTCAAGAAGCATAAACAGCTAAATACATGAACTGTATATGAATTCTAATTAAAAATAATCTGTAATATGTTTTTAAATTTTAATTTAAAAATATGCTTATTGCACTCAAATGATCATATATGTGCACATGCAATGCGTGTATGTGTGTGCGCATGTGCACATGTGTGTGTGTGTGTGTGTGTGTGTGTGTGTGTGTGTAGAGGCCAGGGGTTTTCATGAGGGTCTTATTCTATTGCTTTCTACTTATTGTCTGTTTGTTGACATATGTCTTTTGATGAGCTGGAGCTCATCATTTTGGCTACGTTAACTGGCCAGGTAGCTTCTAGGAATTCTGTTTCTACCCTCCAATACTACAGTTATAGTTGTTTCTCACCATGCCTAATTTTTACATGGATGTTGAAGATTCAACTTAGGTCTTAATCTTTGAATAGCAAGGCCCTTACCCTGTGAGGCATCTTCCCATACCCTTGTAAAATGCTATTTGTGGTTGTTATATGTGTGTATTATGTGCTATACATGAGTTCATGTGCTTATGTGCCTGCAAGAATTCACGCATGTGTGCATGTGCAGTGTATGTCTTCTAGCGTCATTCAGCATGCTACCTTTGAGATAGTCTCTCACTTCCTGGAGCTTACCAACTGGGCTAGAGTGGCTGGTGGGCAAGTTCCAGAGATCAGTGCATCTCTACTCCTCACTCCTGGGGTTACAAATGTGAACCGGAGCACCTGGCTTTATGTTAGGGGCTGGGAATCTCAACAGCTCTTCATGTGTACATGGAAAGTACTTTAATGATTGAGCCATGGCGCCATCCCCATTAAGTGATAGGGTTGAGACAGTCAAGGCATCAGAAATTGCTGGATATTAATTAGGATGTCATTAATTCTAGAGTTATGACTTAGTAGTGCATTAATATTAAAAACCCTCATAACCTAGAAATATATGTTGAGTGTTTACACAGATGAGTTAAATAATGTCTGAAATCTACCTTAGAATATTTTGGGACAAAAAAAGTAACCTTAGCCAAAACATGACTGAAGAAGTATTAATAACTTAAAACAGGAAGGGTGCATAAGGTGCGTTATCTAATTTTGTTACATTTGAAATGCTCTGTAATATAAAATTCAACAATAAACACAATGGAAACATAAAACTTTAAAACCTATGTAAACATCATAGCAAAATTACACTCTCAATGTGAATTTTATGCACTGAAAGGCATTCCTTAAATGTCTACTTCTAAGAGGATTGCCTTGTAGTGTTTTGCATTTTCGTGGAAGCCCCGAGTCTCTAGTTATTGAGCTCATTCATGAGACCAGAATGTCTGACAGAACTATGTGTCTCCCACCTATTAGCATGTCCACATAGACTCAGAACCTTAAGCGGAGTGGATATTGCTTTTATACTTCTTTCTCCATTATCTGGGGACATATACTTTATTATATACATTCAGCATTTATTCAGTTGCATTCCATTTAGAAGGGCTCAAAGTATCTTTTAAAAAACTGTAAGTATTCATCAAAGCAAAATGTGGACATCTAAATGAAAATAGCCCAGGACTGAATCTCAGACACCACAGTGCCCATTTACATATTGGAACCTTTGTTTTGAGCACGTAAGAGAATGCTGTATGGTGTATAAACTAAACACAGGGCAGCACAGAAGCACCAAGCATCAACGCTGGCTAGGAGAAGGGGTTGCAGTGCTCACTAAGCAGATACATGTGAAGTCTATGGGAGATGCAGGGCAGGGAAAGAGAGTGGTTTTCCCACTGAAAGGCTGGAAAAGATTCTCTGTCATTTGATTTGTACTGGCACTCATGATACACATGCTCTTGGAAGCAAAGCATGTGCACACTCACTCACATATCTGGCTACTAGGACTGGCTCTCACAGGCCCAAACTCTGACTGGTTCCCTTGCACCAAGCAGATTGGAATAGCAGGGGTGGTTGACCTGTGGCTGCTTGCACTGTGGAACAAATGTGGCAACAATGTGAAACTTTGTGGGATACACAGGCTGCTCGTGCCAAGGTAAAGGGTCCTACATCACAATTCTACAAAGTCAGACAGAGAAAAGAGGGCCTGTCTTCTCAGTAGCATGTTGGCATGGTTCTCAATAGAATGTAGATGTTGTGGTCACTGATGCAAAGATACTTGAATTATGGAGCCACCATTTAGTTTAACTGAAGCCACACATGGTAGGTTAAATCCAGAGCATGTGCTGTCCAAGCTCATCCCCTCATTTTTGCCTCTTCTCCTTGCCAGTTTTACAAAAGGATAAATTCTAGAATGACCTAGTCTGGTAAGAAAGGACATCCCTCCTGCTGCACTTTCTTTAGGCTGGGATACAGGATTTCCAAGTGTGAATAATATATTCAGCAACTTCCTTCCTTCCTTCCTTCCTTCCTTCCTTCCTTCCTTCCTTCCTTCCTTCCTTTCTTCCTCCTTTCCTTACTCCCTTCCTTCCATCCTTTCTATTTCTCTTTTTTCCTCAAGCACTGGCCTTGTATGACTATGACCCAGATTCTGCATATGTAGGATGAAGAGCAAACACTGCTTTGGATAGTCAAGTACACATGCACTTTAACATTGGCCCTTTTTAAAAGGTGTGTTTACCATTACTGGCTTAGTTAGTTCTCTTTTGGACTAAATTGCTAACTCTCAATGTCCTGAGGAAATTTAATTCGAAGTACAATCATTTCCATTTATTCAGGCCATATTTATCCCTGCAGAAACAGCCTGGAGGCTAAGGAAAGGCAGCCAGAGCACTGTAGGCTTGGGCGAGTACCACTAAGCTTCTACTTGAACATCTGTACATTTGTTTCATAACCTAGTTCCTCACTCAACATCTCCTAACATTTGGCAACTGGACACACTATCAAAGATAAGTCGTGCAAAAGTTCTGTACTGTGCCTTAGTTACAACACTTGGAGAAAACCATTTCCTTTCATTTAACAAATGGAATTTTATGTGTGGCTATTAGTAAAAGACAAAGTTGTTGTTTTGATATGATCAAAATGTTGCATCCCTCTCTGAAGCAATATTATCTAAGATCCTGGCTCCCAGGAAACTGCATTCTCTAGTTACTCCAGTGGAACAGGCGATTAAAAGCTTGGGAGACACAGCCTATCTAGTATTTTTCCTTATAATTAATTAGTTCACCAATGCTTCACTTGTTAAATTCTTAGAACATTCAAGGCAAGGATCCAGGTACTGTATATACATGGTTTGGAAAGATAAAAGACTTTAATTCCTGCCTGCAAGGGGTTACAGAGTCTTAGGAAGCATCTGAGGTCAGTTAATGGGAGTGAAATTTGGTCTCAGGTAAAAGGACTGATGGATGAAGTGAGAAGTGATCCTCGCTGTGAGAGGAAGAATTCAGGATAATAGTCCAACCCATCCCACAAAGTAACCACAGGCTCAAATAGTGAGGGGCAAGATCAAAGTCAGTTCAAAGATCAAACGTGCAGTGTTAATAGCCTTCACAGAGCTTTGTGCCTGTAAGTAGTCTCTTTCTCTCAGGTAATATGAAAAAGACAAGACTGTTAAACATCTAAAGAGAAACTGTAGTGTTTGTGTATGTGTGTGTGTTCTCCAAATATAAATGTATATATAATATAAACACATACATATAAATACATAACCACCTTATGGATAAACTTTAATTTATCTGAAGAGTTCAATTCATAAACATACCAAGATAAACTTCAAGTAGAGTTAACTGCCAAGATTAAATAGTCCTAGCCAAGTGTGGTACACATGTCTGTAATTCCAACACTCAGGCTGGCTAATGAAATGGAATTATGAGTCTGAGACCAGCCTGTGCTACAGAGCAAGTTCCAGACCAGCCTGGCCTATATGATTCGTTGTCCAAAATAAAAAAAGAGAAATTAAATAGTTCCGAGACTCCATAGAGGGAACAAAGCCATCTTGAGAGTCATAAAAGTACATTGTACATAATAAAGTGGCAGAGCTCAAATCCCACCTCCTATTACTCGAGTTTTTACTTTCTGCTGACCTCTCTTCCATTGCTCCTTAAATATCAAGTTGTAATTTAGCTTTAAATTTCTTAGTATTTTATTTTATGCTTTGATATTTTTCATATTATGTATCATCATGTATCACTCTACCTACGGGGCTAACACTTGTCAATCATGTTCCTATTTGTTACTTTTGCTCTTTTCCTTCCCCCTGTTGATCCATGTGGGGTTTACAGAGCCATAAGAAAGGATGGAAGACGCCATCTTTT